CAAATCGTTTTTCCCCTCCCCCTACACTTCAAAGGTCTGTCGGAATACAAATAGAACCAAAATAAACTCCGGTAAATAAACTGTGGCTACAAAAGTATGAATGGCAAATAAGTACCTCCGATGATGAAGAAGATGAAGAGGAGTAGGACAGAAAAAAACAAAATAAACAAAAACTGAATTTAAGCTCTGCTAATGGCCCATAAAAAAGCAAAGACAAAAAAACAAAGAATGGAAGAAAAATTACAAAAGAAGTAAAAATAATAACAACAACTCCAAAGAATACCAACTAGGATAACAGGGAGGGAGAAATAAACAATCATAACAATAAACCATTAGAATAGATGGATAAATGAAAAACCGAGAAAAAGGCAATAACAAAAATATACCCTTGTTTTCTTCTTCTCTTCTCATCAACTACTGTTTTATTTGCCATCCTCGCATAATTCCGATGCTGACTGAAAATGACTTTAAATGTGAACCAAAAAAAAAAATAATTTCCTATTTTGTATCGGAGAAGGATTTAAGGGGCTTCTTTCTATTGTCCTGGAAGTTTTTCATTTTTTTCATTTTCGGGATTTTTTTGTTGCTGTTGCTTATTTTTGAGGAAGTAGTCTATTAAGAGTCAAGGATAGGCTGGGTAATAATAAAAGCATATAAGTGAGAATATAGTTACAAATAAAATAATCGTAAAAATAAATATTAAAAAATCCGATATTAATATGAAGGAGGGGAGGGGGATATTTTATAGGTATTATAAAAATATTAAAAGTCGAAAGGATATGAAACGGCAATTGAAAAAAAAAATTATAGAAAAATCGTTTTTGGGGTTTTTTATTAAGTTTTGTTTTCAAGGTCCTACACCTCGGACGAAAATATATAGGGGAGATATATTGAAATCTTAACCGATTTGAACAAAACTTTATACACATCATTTAAGATGAAGTTCGATACGCTTTGTCAAATTTCCTGGTAATCGAACCGTAGAGTCTCTGGTGCGTGATTGTGAAATCGGACGAAAATATATAGGAGTTCTATATCGAAAACTGAACCGATTTCTCCAAAACTTAACACGCATTATTTTAGACTTAATTCGATACGATATGCAAAATTTCGTCGCAATCCGAGAAACATGGGACCCTTGGTGTCCCATTTACATAAAATCGTGAAAATATATATGGGAGCTATATCGAAATCTCAACCGATTTCATTAAAATTTAATACACGTCATTCTGAACTCAATATAATACGATATGTCAAATTTCGTCGCAATCAAACAAACATAGGACCCTTGGTGCAGCACCCGACTTTCGGTATATTCGAGGCTTTAGTCACATTTAACACCCCCCCCCCCCCTACTCCCCCAACGAAGTGGCTGTATTTTGGTGCAACGGGATTCTTGGAGGCTAACACACGTATTTGCAAAATATTTTCTTTGTAGTTCCATGTTATGACATAGCCCACATATGAGGGTTCCGGCCAATTTTCGAGATTTTAGCCACATTTTCCCCACCGAAGTAGGTGTAATTTGGAATTTTGAGTTCTTGATGGCTGCCAAACCTCCGTATCGAATATTATCAATATCGATTCTGCTTTAAGTATAGCTCCCATATATCGTTTCCGACCGATTTTCGTGGTGTTGAAAGTTTCAGCCGCATTTTTCCCAATCGAAGTGGGTGTAATTTGGCATTAAGGGTTATTAGAGGCTGCTATACCTCTGTGCCAAATATTTTCGTTGTAGGTCCATATTTTAACATAGCCCTCGTATGAAGGTCCCGTCCGATTTTCAATATTATCAAGGTTTTAGCTGAATGCTCTCACCGAAGTGGCTGTAATTTGGTATTAAGAGTTATTGGAGCCTAACGTACCTCCATACCAAAAATTATCAATATAGATTCATATTTAGGTATAGTCCCCATATAACAGTTCCGCATGATTATCGATATTTTCGAGGTTTTAGTCAAATTTCCCCCCACGATGTGGGTGTGATTAGGTATTAACTATTCTTGGAGACTGCTATACCTCTGTGCCAAATATTTTCGATATAGATCCACGTTTTAACATAGCCCTCATATGGAGTTTCCATCCGATTTTCGATATTTTCGAGTTATTAGCTGAATGCTCCCATCGAAGTGGTTGTTATTTGCCATTCCACATTCTTGGGGGCTGCTTAACATCTATATAGAAAATTATCAATATCGATCCAACTTTAGGTATAACCCTCATATGAAGGTCCCAACCGATTTTCGTGGTTTTGAGAGAATCACCTGAATTTTCTCCCCCACGAAGTGGCTGTAATGTGGTCTTCCAGGTTCTTGGGGGCTGACATACATTTGTGCAGAAAAATTTCTACATCGAACCACCTTTAAGTACAGCTTCCATATAACAGTTCCGCTCGATTTTCGATATTTTCGAGATTTTAGCTGAATGCTCCCACCGAAGTGGCTGTTATTTGGCATTCCAGGTTCTTGGAGGCTGCTTAACCTCTATATAAAAAATTATCAATATCGATTCATCTTTAGGTATAACCCACATATGACCGATTTTCGAGATTTTAAACGTTTCAGCCGAATTTGCACCACCGAAGGGCTGTAGTTTTGGTCTTCCGGGTTCTTGGGGGCTGTCATACATTTGTGCAGAAATTTTTTTTTCACCGAACCACCTTTAATTACAGTCTCCATATAACGGTTCCGCTCGATTTTCGATATTTTCGAGATTTTAGCTGAATGCTCCCAACGAAGTGGCTGTTATTTGGCATTCCAGGTTCTTGGAGGCTGCTTAACCTCTATATAAAAAATTATCAATATCGATTCATCTTTAGATATAACCCTCATATGGAGATCCTGACCGATTTTCGTGGTTTTTAATGTTTCAGCCGAATTTTCACCAACGAAGTGGCTGTAATTCGGTCTTCCGGGTTCTTGGGGTCTGACAAACATTTGTGCAGAAAATGTTCTACATCGAACCACCTTTAAGTACAGCTTCCATATAACAGTTCCGCACGATTTTCGCTATATTCGAAGTTTTAGCTGAATGCTCCCATCGAAGTGGCTGTTATTTGGCATTCCAGGTTCTTGGAGGCTGTTTAACCTCTATATAGGAAATTATCAATCTCGTGCCATCTTTATGTACCCTCATATGAAGATCCCGACCGATTTTCGTGGTTTTGAGAGAATCAGCTGAATTTTCTCCCAGCGAAGTGGCCTTCCAGGTTCTTGGGGGCTGACATTCATTTGTGCAGAAAAATTTCTACATCGAACCACCTTTAAGTACAGCCTCTATATAACGTTTCCGCCCGATTTTCCATATTATCGAGTTTTTAGCTGAATGCTACCACCGAAGTGGCCGTTATTTGGCATTCCAGGTTCTTGGAGGCTGCTTAACCTCTATATAGAAAATTATCAATCTCGTGCCATCTTTATGTACCCTCATATGAAGATCCCGACCGATTTTCGTGGTTTTTAATGTTTTAGCCGAATTTTCACCAACGAAGTGGCTGTAATTCGGTCTTCCGGGTTCTTGGGGGCTGACATACATTTGTGTAAAAAAATTTCTACATCAAAACATCTTCAGGCACATCTTAAATATAGCGGTTCGACCCGATTTTCTCTATTTTGAAGGTTATAGCCGCATTTTCTCCCACCGAAGTGGCTATAATTTGGTATTCCGGTCTTCTGGAGGCTAACATCGCTCCCCAACCAAAAGGTACCGACCACTTCTAGGGAGTAAAAAAATGTTGGCCCTACCGAACTTTATTTAATTTTTATTTTTTAACTAAATATTCCCTACTACTAAGGGTATTTTTTCAAAGCATGAATTTTTTACGAACCAATAGATCGGAAATTTTTATTTTTGTATTCTTATTATTTTTTTAAATATGTTGTAGCCCACATTTTCTACTTCCCCCCGTAGATCTGCTTATACCTCTCGAGTTAGGGTATTTACCATAGAATCATATTTTGTAGTCCTGCATGAAATCCTTGACTGCGGATTTTTTAGAAATTTTCTTAGATTCAGTAGTGTTTGGCGGGTTATTTGGGATACCATTTGTATTTTGTTTTTGCAAAATAGTCAGGCTTAATCCCAGTTTGTTGTTTTTATAAAAAACAACTATTTATTAGTGGGGAATGTATGGCATTGTCCGCCGAGGGGTAAGGCAGGGAAGACTATAGTTTCGGATCTCGCCACTGATCCTCATCAGTTCCCTTAGTTTTTTGTTGGGATATTCTCCCAGAAGCTATTAATAGCTTCTTTACAAAAAACCTTTCAAACCCAAATGTCTCTTGTGACAATTCGAAGTTCTTACGTTACCAGCAATACGACCCCAATGAGAAGTTCGTTTCGTTGGCGCCTGACTTCGTTTGTTTGGTTTATTGCTTTAACTAGCAATGCCAACAACAACGTTATGTGCATTCGTCACAAAGTGACGACACATAGCAGTGGGAAATGTATTGTAGTTGTCTGTAAATGCCTTGTTGACCACGAAGTCAGGCGCCAACGAAACGAACTTCTCATTGGGGTCGTATTGCTGGTAACGTAAGAACTTCGAATTGTCACAAGAGACATTTGGGTTTGAAAGGTTTTTTGTAAAGAAGCTATTAATAGCTTCTGGGGAGAATATCCCAACAAAAAACTAAGGGAACTGATGAGGATCAGTGGCGAGATCCGAAACTATAGTCTTCCCTGCCTTACCCCTCGGCGGACAATGCCATACATTCCCCACTAATAAATAGTTGTTTTTTATAAAAACAACAAACTGGGATTAAGCCTGACTATTTTGCAAAAACAAAATTTTCTTAGATTTTTATTTGTTTTTTTGCTTCGTTACACCTCCTCCAACCCTCCCCCTAGTATTCCATAAAACGTACCGATATTATCCCGAGATTTTTTTAGTTTTGTTGCTCCATCCCGCTGATAAAATCTGCAAATAACTGTGTGTTTTGATATTTTCTTTGATTTTAATTTCGGGTGTGTGTATTCGTTCGCCCTCCTCCGAAATCCAGTTAAGTCACTTCGATTATGGTCCGAATAAAATCTTGGCCAAATATGGTAAATATTTAAATAACACCAAGCAGCAACAGTATCCGAATCTGCATCAAAATCAAAATACGAATCATCAGCATCATCAGATTCCGCATCAGCATCCGAATCATCATAATTTGTCTCGGGCCACAAGGATTACTGGATATTCCAGCAGCCAAGACAGTGGCCGGGATAGCGGCCGTGACAGCAGTGTTCGTGAGGTAATGAGCAGTAGCAGTAATCCGAACAATGCCAGCAGTGAAGATGAGAATATCAACAAACGTCAGCCGCAGCAGCAACAGCAACAGGATGAGGAAGACAATTTTTCAACAACGAGGAATAATGGTGGGGGAAGAGGAGGTGGACCCAGAGGGGGTGTGATAGAAGATAATGGCAATGCTGGCCACATTAGTGCCGCCACATCATTCGATAGTGATTCAGCCCTAACTGAGGGCAGACATTGTAATTTGTTTAGTGAAAAGCAGGGTAGCCTCTGTAGCCGCTATGATGGCAATCTGCAGCACCATCCGAACCAGCCACCTCTGGCACATGCTAAACAACTGCGAATTAATTCGTCTAATAGAATGGCCAATGATGGTGGAGCTTTGCATAAAACCTCAATAGCAGCCATAAGTGGGGGTGGCGGAACTTCTGGCAGTGGCTCCGGCTTAGGCTACCTTGATAAATCCGGCATGGAGGCAACTACATTAGGCTCTCGAACTTCATTACATCATAACATTTATACAAACGACACATATGAGAGTCGTTATGTTAACGAGCAGCACTCCCAGCACCTCTCACACCTCCCGAACCATCATCACCACCACCATCAGAACACCAGCATATCAGCCTCATCCACCTTCCTACTCGACGATGGCAGTGAATTGGAAATGGATGCTGAAATTGCTGGTGGCCAGCAGAAAACCTATTTGGTGCCACTGGATATACCCACACCACCGCCACAGCCACATATGCCGCATGGCAGGGCCACAACAACACAGACATCCATGTGTCAGTGCGATACGGCAGTGGCGAACAATGGTTCGGCACTTTGCCATCATCAGCAACATTTTCAGCAGGTAGCTCAACACAGGGCCACAACTCATCAGCATCAGCATACCGTAACTCCGAACACCCCGAATCGCATGCCATCATCATCCTCCACACAACTACATCAGGTCAGCATGATGGAAATACCATTGGCCAATGGTTTAAGCCATCATCATCAACCGCAGCATCCACATCATCGGCATCATCACTCTAGTGTTGCAGGTTCACTTCTTAATTATAAATTACATGATCCACAGCTGCAGCAATTCACAACCGGCTCGCCGCATTATCAACACGATGACCAGCTGGATTTTGGCCATCATCCGCATCCTCAGCATCACCATAAATTGCCACTGCAAAAAAGTTTCAGCAAATTGCAGCTGCACCAAAAACAACAACAATTACAAAATTTAGTCTTTCCCCAGCTATCACCGTATCACAGCGGTAGTGAGCGGAACTCCTCATCGGCTTTTCATCAAATGGATGGTAAAAATTATGCCAAAAAGGTAAGAGAGAGAGGTATGAACTCGAGGTTCAAGGTGGGAGGCAGAAGGAGGATGGGATTTTTTTCACATTTTTTGGTGGGTATTCCATTTTTTCCTCCGGGGCAGGATATTGAGGAGGAAATGTTCTGTCAATAAAATCGATTTAAATAATCCACTAATTAAAAGAAGGAGGATCTTCTATAGGACCCCATAGAAGATCCTCGAAGCTTTTCATTGGATACATTTTTTGTCTCCCATAAACAGGGGACCAAATATTCTTTAAGAGTAGTCCGAGGTTGTTTTTATAAGAGACCTCTCAGGCCTTACCAAATTATGTCTACTATGAGTAGCTTCGAGCTCTACGTTTTGGATTCCATATGACCACCAGAACGTATACGTGCTGACATAAGTTATACGCTCTTCAATTTTTTGATCTCTTCTTAAATGTCTTCACGTTTTTTAAGGGTTTCAATGTTTTTCCCTCGCAGGATAATTAGGAGGAATTACTCTGCCAATAAGATCGATTAAATAATTAACCCACTAATAAAAAAGGCATTGATGGGGTCCTATAGGAAATCCTCAAAGCTCCTCTTAGGAGTGATTTTGCTCTCCTATAAACAGAGGCCAAAATCTTGTTTAAGAGGAGCCCGAGTTTTTTTAAGTAACCTCTCAGGCCTTACCAAAAATCTCCGAGCTCCACGTCTAGAATTACATATGGCCACCAGAACGTATACGTGCTGACATAAGTTATACGCCCCTCAATCCTGGTCTCTTCTTAAATGTCTTCACATTTTTTGGTTGGTTTCAATTTTTTCCCCTGGCAGGATAATCGGGAGGAAATATTCTGCCAATATAAACTATTAAATAATTAACCCACTAATAAAAAAAGTCTTGATAAGGTCCTATAGGAGATCCTCGAAGCTCCTCTTAGGAGATATTTTTGCTCTCCGAGTTTTTTATGAGCAACTCCTCAGACCATACAAAAAATATCTTTATGAATAGCTTCGAGCGTATACGTGCTGACATGAGTTATACGCCCCGAAATCTTGGTCCACTCTTAAATGTCTTCCCATTTTATTTTGTGTTTCAATTTTTTCCCCTGGCAGGATAATCAGGAGGAATTATTCTACCAATAAAATCGATTAAATAATTAACCCACTGAAAAAAACCTTGATAAAGTCCTATAGGAGATCCTCCAAGCTTCTCTATGGAGAATGTTTTGCTCTACTATAAACAGAGGTCAAAATCTTGTTTAAAACGAGCCCGAGGTTTTTTAAGTATCCTCTCAGGCCTTACCAAAAATCTCTCTATAAGTAGCTTCGTACTTCACCCATAAGACTCCATATGACCACCAGAACGTATACGTGCTGACATAAGTTATACGCCCCTCAGTACCTCAATACTCAAGAAGGTCTTTTATGAACATCTTGGACTCATTCTAAAGACAATTTTTGTCTCTTCTTAAATGTCTTCTAAGAAAAGCCTTCAAAGGCCTTTAATGTGCCTTTGAAATGGTCCTCCAAGACATGGCGGATTTTCAATAAGAAGACTTCATTTAGTCTTCTTTTAAAATTTCAGTTGGTTCTCTTTAAGAATATATATTTATCCAGGGCAGGATAATTAGGAGAAATTATTCTGCCAAAACAAAATCGAAAGGTTAATTAGTCCACTAATAAAAAAAGGCCTTGATAAGGTCCTATTGGAGATCCTCAAAGTTTCACATTGGATACATTTTTTGTCTCCTATAAACAGAGGCCCAAATCTCGTTTAGGAGGATTCCGAGTTTTTTTTTATAAGAAACCCCTCAGACCTCGTTTAGAATCCCATATGACCACCAGAACGTATACGTACTGACATTAGTTATACGCCCCTAAATACTTCAAGAAGCTCTTTTATGAATACTTTGGACTCATCTTTAAGAAGATCTTAATCTCTTCTTTTTTGGAAAACAAAAATGTCTTTTATGAAAGCAGCTTCGAGAATCTTTTATAGGCTTTCGAAATGGTCCTCATATGACCACCAGAACGTATACGTGCTGACAAAAGTTATACGCCCCTCAATACCTCAAAAAGGTATTTTAGGAACATCTTGGACACATCTTAAAGAAGATATTCGTGTCTTCTTACATGTCTTCTAAGATCTCTTATAAGCCTTCAAAATGGTCCTCTAAGGGAAGATATGACGGGTTTTCTGTAAAAAGACCCTTTAGACTCCTACATTTAGTCTTTTTTTAAATTTGCTTGTCTTTGGAGACCCTTTTGCTCACCTATAAGCAAAGGTTAAAATCTTCTTTTAGAGAAGCCCGAAGTTTTTTTATAAGAAACCCCTCAGATCCTATCAAAAAACTCTCTATGAGTAGCCTCGAGCTCCACGTTTAGAGTCCCATATAACCACCAGAACGTATACGTGCTGACATTAGTTATACGTCCAACAAAACCTCAAGAAGGTATTTTATGAACATCTTGGACTCATCTTAAGGAAGATCTTGGTCTCTTCTTCTTTGGAAAACGAAAATGTCGTCAAAGAAAAAAGCATCGAGAATCTCTTATGGGCTTTCGAAATGGTCCCCATATGACCACCAGAACGTATACGTGCTGACATAAGTTATACGCCCCCCAATACCTCAATACTCAAGAAGGTCTTTTATGAACATCTTGAACTCATTCTAAGGATGATTTTGGTCTCTTCTTAAATGTCTTCTAAGAAAGAAGTTTCAAAGATATTTAATGGTCCTCCAAGGCTAGACATGGCGGATTTTCTATTAAAAAAACCTTTAAGACTTCTTCATTTAGTCTCCTTTTAAATTTTCAGCTGGTTCTCTTTAAGAAAATATATGTTTAGACTTCCTTAAGAAAACACTTCGAGGACCTATATGAAATCCCAGAAGCTTCTTTTTTAGAATACATTTTTGATTTCAGAAAAAAGAGGCCCAGATCTTCATTGAAATGCGTCCAAGGTTTTCATGAAATACCTTTTTTATAAGACACCCCTCAGGTATCCCCGTAAGTCTTTGCTGGTCTTCTATGGAAATACTAGACCCTCTAGTTTTCTTTTTAAATTACATTTGATTCTTTCGAAGAACATATTCGTAGTCTTTCATGAGAAAAACACTTCGAAGACCTATAGGAGATCCCAAAAGCTTCTTTCTGAGAAGACTTTTTTGTTTTCTGAAAAAAGAGGTCCAGCTCTAAGCTCTTAATATGCCTCCAAGTTTTTTTATAAAATGCCTTTTTGAGTCTTGAAGTATTCAGGGGCGTATAACTTATGTCAACACGTATACATTCCGGTGATCATATGGGGTCCCAAACGTGAATTTCGTAGCTACTCATTGGAGAAATTTGTGGCCACCCATAATCATAGGCCAAAATCTTCTTTAAGAGTAGAGTAGGACAATTGATCCACAAAAGGTAGGGCCTTCTGGCATAGGAAATTCTCGATCCTCGAGGTAATCACAGCAAATACTTTTTATATCCCAAATAAAGAGGCCAATTTTCTTCTCGAAGTTTTATATAAACAACCCCCTAGCCTTCAAGATTATTACGGAGTGCTTTTGGGTCGCTTCACTTCGCTCTTCTGTAAGAACTGGCTTTGGTTCTCTATTAAAATTGTAATTGGTTCCTCTTAGGAAAATATTTTTAGAAATACCCAAGAACACAATTTCGAAGTCAAATTATCCTGCTAATGGATGGCTCTTCTGACGTCCAATAAGAGGTCTTCGAAGTTTTGTTTTTTTTTCTTGGCAGAAATTTTCTCATAGACTTTGAAAGCCTATAAAATGTATAGATTTATAGATTTCTATATCTATCACAATTTCATCTTATGAATCACAAAGATCTATTGAAAATTATTCATAAAATGTTTTGGGCATCTATAAAAGTCACTTCTGAACTCCCGCTCATCTATGCAAAGACTCTACTGGTCTCCTATACATTTTTCATTAGTTCTCTATAAAATGTTTTAGGCCTCGAAGTCTTATGGAAAAAAATTGTATACGCCTGAGAGGCCTCAGAGACCTATGAAAAAATTTTAAAGGCCTCGTATGTCTATGAACAAATTTCTATTGGCCTCGGAGGCTTATGAAAAATCCGAGGTTTATGAAAAATTTTCTATATAAAATGTTATAGGCCTCGAATTCTTATGGAAACAATTGTATAAGCCTGAAAGGCCTACGAAAAATATATTTTTTAAAATTCTAAAGTCCTCTCCTCTCGGGTTGTTGTCTTCAGGTGCGTATGATTGCTGTCAGTATGTATACGTTCTGGTGGTCATAAGGGAAATATAATTTATCTCAGTACTAACCTGACTATGGAATAGAATTTAATATTTTTAGGAACATTTTGACCTTCTGTGGAAACTCCATTTTGCCTTTAACATATTTGTTCTTCTACTATAGGAAGTTGTCTCCCAAGAAAAAAACATTCCGCTCGCCTCAGGAGATTTTTTTAATAATGTATGAATTATGTCAGCGCTTTTCATAGAAAGCTACTTCTGATATTCTGCAAGAAACACTCCTTCTTTTATATCAAAAGGTCCATAAAAATGTATATCTGTGCAACAGTATCGCATTATGGTGTTATGAGGCGTATGATTGCTGTCACCACGTATACGTTCTGATGTTTCTTGAGAAAAAAATATTTTTTTTTTTGTATTAGTTTTATCATAAGGAGAACTTTTCCCCTCCTCTCTGAATTTCCTTTGTTATTGTTTTTTCGACATTTTTTAAATTAATTATAAGATTATCGATGCTTATGCAGCAGCTTTCTCCTCTCACCACCCATTTAATATTGTTCTGGCCTTCGGCTCAATTTTAATTTGATTAATTTGTGAGAGTATTAAGAAGCTATGTATCTTTGTATGGCCATCTCTACATAATTTCATTATCTTAATCTGTGTGGGTAATACATTTTTATGTAGGTGATAATTGACAAATTATCAATTGTAATTTGTCTTAATTGGGGAAGATTGGTGGCCTGAGGGCTCCAAAAATATTAAGGAATTAAGGAGGTGGATGACAACAAATTAAAGTTTGCTCATTAATGAAAATAAATTTTGAAGGAAGAGAAATGTTCGGATTCTTTGCATAATCACAAAAATGATGGGTCTATGAAAAAAACTTATATGTTATAGACCTCAAAACCCTACGTAAAAAGGAGACATTTCAGACTTTGCTGAGAATATTTTTTGGTCCTCCAGAAGAAGTCCTTTTTCTTCATGTGTGGTATTTCTGAAAATGTCTTTTATTTTCCCATAAAAAATATATTTTATTATTCTATTAAAAATGAATAGAATTCTTTTAAAAAAAGGCGTATAATTGTTGTCATAACGTGTACGTTCTGGTGGACACCGAAAAAATAATATTTTACTATATTTTGGCTTAAGGAAAACATGTAATAAGGTCCGTAGGCTTGATATTTCGTACGTGTCCTTTACAAAAATATATTTCAGTTTTCCATTTATATATCCCTCCGAAATTATTTAAAAAATAATAAAATAATATTGAATGGCGAATAATTGTTGTCATCACGAATACGTTCTGGTGGTCATAGGGAAAATTATAATTTTCTTTAGATTTTCTCTGAAGAGAAAAATCGTCGGAGGCCTCTGAAAAATGTTCTATAACATTTTAGAACCCACTTTGGTCTATGAAAAGAATTAAACAAATATATAGTCTTTGAAGCCCATGCTAATGTTCTCAAAAATAGTAGAGCCATCGGAAAGTCATGAAAAAATGTCTATTAAATTTTAGAGGACTTGGAATGCAATAAATCATTATGTTTCTATCAAAATATCACTCGGAATTTCTTTATAAATATTAGATGTTGTTCTCTGACGTTGTGGCGTACAATTTTTGTCAGCAAGTATACGTTCTAGTAGTCACTATAGAAATCATTATTATTTGTTTTTTTTTTTATTTTTTAAAGATAAAAAGATTAAGGACTCCGAGCCATATAACAAAATTTCTATAAATTTTTTAAAGTCACGAAAGTCTATAAAGAAATTAAAGAATATGTGTAGCCTCTGAAACCCCAAAAATAGTGGAATCCTTGCAAGCCCCTGATATTATCGATGATTCGTAATGTAATAAATAATAATTTTTATATCAAAATCTATCTTAGGACTTATTAAGAAGTATCTGATTTTCTCTTCTGGGGTGTGATCTTAGAGGGGCGTATAATTGTTGTCAGCACGCATACGTTCTGGTGGTCGTAGCAAAAAGTCAGCACTCGAAAGCCTCTGTAAATTTGTCTATAAAATTTTATATACTTCGAGGTCTTATAATCATTTTCTATTAAATGTTGTGGGCATTGTATACCTCGGTTTAGTTAAATTTCTATTAAAATGTTCTCGTCCGCTCTTCGTTAAAAATACTTGCTTAATTCGTATGGAGTTGTAGTTGATGTCAACACGTATACGTTACGGTGGTGAAAAGAGATTTTTGGATTTTCTACATGTTAACATTTTTGGGTATTCTCTGAGTAATCCAATTTGTGTCTAATTACAAGATTTTTAGGAGCATCAAGGAGTTTCTATGGAAATTAAATTTAAATTGTCTTCTCGGGTTCTCTAAGAACTTCGTTTTAGGCTTTCAAAAATGTCCTTTGGTCCCCAAAAAAACAAGATAACAATTTTTGCTCCACTCAGGCGTTTTCTTTTGCATCCGTATGATTGATGTCGCCACGTATACGTTCCGGTGTACATATGACAATTGTATAGCCTTCCTTCAATTATATACGCCTTGAAGTTCTATAAAAAATTATATATATATCATACACCTCAGAGGCATAAACACATTCCATATGATTTTTTTCTGTATGATTTTATAGGTCTGTAGGTCTGTCTAAATTTTTCTTAAAAAAGTTATAGGTCACAAGGGCTTGTAAAAAGGTTTCTGAAAAATTCTTTAGTAAATCTTTAATTTTATAGACCTTGGTGGCCCATGAAATTTGCTTATAAAATTTTGTAGGCCTCGAAGATATGTAAAAGTTTGTTTCACAAATGTTAGGGACCCGGAGACCTAAGAAATGTTTTTGTATAATTTTTTATCGGCCGCCAAGGGCAATATATATATATATATATAATTGCTACAAAATTGTGCATGCCTTGGAGGCTTGTAAAAAATTTTCTATTAAATTGTATGGACAACGAAATATTTTTTTTTTCTAAAATTCTGTAGACCTCAGAGGCTTTCTGAAAATTTTATATGACTCGGAGGCCTATGAAACATATTTTCTAATAATGCTTGGAAGGCTCATAAACAACTTTCTATTGGTCTCGGATGCTTACAAAAAAATCGAAATTCTAAAAGCCCTCCGAATTTGTATAAAAAAATTTTAAAAAATTCTTATGTTGCGCGAAAGCCTATTGTTTTGTGAACCTCGTAGGCATGTTAAAAAAATCTATAATTTTTTATACGGCTGTAAGAAATGTAATAGATCTTTGAGGCCCCTGAAAACGGTTCTATAAAATTGTATGTTCCTCGGAGGGCTTAGAGCTTATGAAAAAATTTTCTATAAAATGTTATAGGTCTTGTTGGTGTATGAAAATTAGTTTAGACATTTTTGAGGCTTCCGAAGGTCTATAAAAAAGTCCAATGAAAACGTTTGGTCTTAAACGACAATATATTTATTTTTTATAAAATTGTATGGCACACGGCTGCATGTAAAAACATTTTCTATGTCTGTTACATAGCTCATGGTCTCTTGAAAATTGCTTTATATTTATTATTTATTATATTTATATTTTTTTGGATTTAGAGGTTTTTGGAAAAAAAAATATTTTTTTTAGAAAATTTAAAGTTATATTGGCTGGGTGGCATACAAATAATGTTTATACGATTTTATAGGCCTTGGGAAATTTTCTTTAAAATGTCTATAAGCCTCGTAGGTATATGAAAATATTTCTAAAAATGTTAGAGGCCTCGAAGGGTCTATGAAACTATTTCTAAATCTTTTAAGGTGTCGAAAATCTATGAAAAAAGGAAAATAATAATTTTTATGTATGGCTAGGAAGCCTATTAAAATTTCCTAACATTTTTTATAACCCTTTGAGGTCCATGAAAATTTTTCTATAGGCCTTGGAAGGCGATAAAAAATTGTTTCTTTATTTTTTTTTTTAATTTCGACTGTAGTTGGTAAAAAAATTCCCACGCTCATAAAAATAAAAGCCGTACTGACCTACCACAAAAACTCAAAATTTTTTCAAACTCTTTTTTCAATAAAAAATTTAAAAAAACGTCTCTACAATTTCCTAACAATGAAAAAATAAACAAATTTCTAAACTTAAAATTTAAATGGGTGTTTACTCTGCTCTCTACCTTTCCCACCATTTCTTATTGCCTATTTTTTTCAAAATCAAATTCCCCCAAATATTCACTTCCCCAAAACGTGTAATTATGTACCGGCTGTCTCAAGCCCATAAACCCAAACTCAAATTGGTAAATAACTTTATTTCAATCTTTCTTAACCATTTAAGTCATTATGGCTACAGTAGTTGGTGTTTTTATTGTCGTTGTTGTTGTTGTTGCTGTCGCTGCGACAGAAATTGCTTCTCTTGCATACGAAAAAAGTGAAATATTATTTCACATTCACATATAAGTATTACGTTGTTTGTCGCGACGGCATTTCTACGAAACTTGGGCAAATAATTGTTGCGCAGGCGCAACATAACCACCACTTATAAAACAGAAAACAACACAACAACAACAACATGGTACTTGGTATGGTATCAGCTTAAAAAATCGCCACAGCAATTGCAATAAACCAACATTCCCGGTTTACGTGACGCGTTTGAATAATGACCACCACCACTATCGTCATCATCACCGCCACTTGACTTGTCACTTTGAGTTTGACGACAAGCTTGATGAAGTTGATGATGACTATGACCACAACAGCAACAACAATATTCATGATGAGTTTCTTTATGATCATGATGATATCTTTTACGATTACGTTGACAAGAAACCACATTTTTGTTGTTTTTGCTGTTTAACGAAAGTTGACGGCTTCGTCAATGTGGTGCAGACCAAAATTTTGTAATGAAAAATAAGAAAAAAATTGTCGATAACAAGGCTTTTTATGGAGGATCCTTATCGATAACGACATTTTTATGGAGAATTGTTATCGATAATAACATTTTTGAAAGAAAAACTATCGATAACACATTTTCACTAGTAAAAATATATCGATAACAAGTTTTTCTGTGAAAAAAAGTTATCGATAATAACTTTTAGTTAGAGAAATGATTTCGATAACAATTAATTTGGTGAAAAAAATTTCGATAACAATAAATTTTTAAAGAAAAGTTATCGATAAACAATTTTCTATGAATAAATGTTATCGATAACTACTCTTATATGAAAAAAATTGCTATGGATAACCACTTTTTAACCAATAATAGTTATCGATAACTCATTTCCCTAGTGAAAATATATCAATAATAATTTTTTTCTGTGAAGAATAGTTATCGATAACTCATTTCACTAGCGAAAATAAATCGATAATTTTTTTTATGTGAAATAAAGTTATCGATAATAACTTTTTGTAAGAGAAATGATTTCGATAACAACTATTTTAGTGAAAAAAATTATCAATAACAAATAATTTTTGAAGAAAAGTTATCGATAAAAAATTTTCTATGAATAAATGTTATCGAAAACTACTCTTATAAGTAAAAAATGCCTTGGACAACCCTTTATAACAAATAATAGTTATCGATAACTCATTTCCCTGGTGAAAATAAATCGACAGCATTTTTTTTCTGGAGAATAGTTATCGATAATAACATTTCTTCAGAGGAATGTTGTCGATAACAATTATTTTAGTGAAAAAAAATTCTCGATAACAAATATTTTCTTAAGAAAAGTTGTCGATAAACAATTTTCTATGAATAAATGTTATCGATACCTATTTTTATATGGAAAATACACTATGGATAACCATTTTTTAACAAATAATAGTTATCGATAACTCATTTCCCTAGTGAAAATATATCGATAACATTTTTCTTTCTCTGGAGAATAGTTAGCGATAATATAATTTCTTTAGAGAATCGACTTCGATAAGAATTATTTTAGTAAAAAATATCGATAACAAATAATTTTTAAAGAAAAATAGTCGATAAGCAATTTGGTATGAGAATATGTTACCGATAACTACAATTATGTGAACTAAGGTTATCGATAACCCCTTTTTTACAAATAAAAATTATTGATAACAACATTTCTTGTTGAGATGAGACATCGATAAGTAGTTAGTTATCGATGACAATGTTTTCGTTGAGATAAGACATCGATAGTAGCTTTTATAGATAACGATTATTCTATCGAGAAAAGATAACGATAACAAGTTTTGTTAGTGAAAAGTTATCGATAACAACTTTCCTATAAAGAAAAATTATCGATAACAAGTTTTTGATATAGAAAAATTATCGATAACAATTTTTCGTTAAAGAAAATGTATCGATAACACATTTTCCACAAAGAAATTTTATCGATAACAGTTTTTGTGTAAAGAAATGTTATGGTTTACAATATTTTTATAGAAAAAAATTTTCGATTACAACTTTTCCATTTCTATAAAAAAAAATTTATCGATAACAATGTTTCTTGATATGAATATTATCGATAAATGTTTTTGTATAAAGAAAAGTTATCGATTACAATATTTGTATAGAGAAATTTTTTCGATTACAACTTTTCGTTAGCAACTTTTCTACGAAGAAAAGTTGTCGATAACTCAATTTCTATAGGAAAATTATATCGATAACAAGTTTTCTTGATGAAAATGTTATCGATAATTAATAAATACTATCGATAATTACATTTTCATTCAAAAAAACTTATAAAGAATAACACAATTTCTATGGAAAACTGAATAAAAAACCTTCTCCATAGAGAAAAGTTATCGATAATGAGATATTTACAAAAAACGTGTTATCGATAACAATATTTTGTGTAAGAAAAATTACCGACGATATTCCAGTATTAAGTGTTTTCTGTCAAATAATTTTTGATTAATTGCCTTGCCATTAATAATAATCGATGTTTGGTGGTTAATACCGCCTCAACATAAAGAGAAGTGGGAGAGGGGGAAAGTGAGAGTGAAAAAATTTCCCTCTCACTCTCCCCATAATTGCATAATAATGCCAAACGGCATGCATTGAAGTGCATTTTTGTTTTTTGACCACTTAACAAATCCAACTTGCCCTATATGGTTGCCTCCAGGTGGTGGTGGTGGTGGCTGGTGTTGGAGTGGGACTATTGCAACAGCCTCATAACCGCACACATAAAACCAGACCACACTTCGAAATGGAAAACACAAAAAACGGAAAAACCTGACCAGATCCGAATTGACCAATATCAGCAAACATTTTAACAGCGGCTTAAAAATCGGTTATTTGCCATTTTTGGCTGGCCGTTTGTTGCTGCTCTGGTTGACCCAACATGGTAGGATACGATAGGAGAGGATATGATAAAGTTGTGAATTTTTATGTAATTATTTTGTGCAACAACAACAACAGCGACACCAACAACAACAATAGGAGCAGTAACAATAACAGCAACCACAACATAAAGCGCCCCGGAGCCACCAAACAAACAGGCTGGCAGGGCAGTAAGCCAGCCTCATCCTGATATGGTCAAAGTGACGGTAACCACCATCATCGATTGGTTGCACGGTCAGTTAGTTGTTCAGGAGGCCTGGCGGGTCGGTCGGACGGTCTTTAACCATAAAAGCTGAATTGGGTAAAGTGTGGTGGCGGATTTAATTGAGATTATAGAAATTCATCTGTGGTTTGTTTTGAGGCTCTAGGTATTGGTATTTTGGTCTTTATGGGGTTGTTGTTGTGTTCCTGTTTGTAGTTGTTGTTGTTATTTTTTCGGTTTGGCTTTATTTTGTTGTTGCAATGAATAGAAGTGGATTTTAATATGGTCAAAATTGCGGAAAATTCCATAAGCTGTTGTATTTACAGCAAATGATTTATGAAGCTTAAAGCAAACACACACAGACACAGATTCACACACACACTCACAGACTCACACACACATGGACATATAG